ATCTGTTGGGTATTTTGGGCTGAAACTTAACAGACACATTCTGGGGACACCCAAGACCAATATTACATCTTGTAAACAGGGGCATAATAGGTGCCCTTTAAAGCTGTTATTTTGAACTTTCTATTCATCAAAGAATCATGAAAAGAATTTATCATTGATAATAAATGTATCCTTGATTAAAAACAAAACAAACAAAAACATTGATAATAGGAAATGTTTCTTGAGCATCAAATCAGTAGTAATAGAGTAAAGGGCTGCTGAAAATGTAGCTTTGCCATCACCAATCAGTTTGTTTTAACTGTATTTTTGATTAAATAATTGCAGTCTTGGTGAGCATAAGAGTCTTTTAAAAAAAGGTTTAAAAATCAGTAGTATAATGATAAACACAATATAAACAAAAATAAATAATAACAAAATAAATAAATATAATGTAAGCACAATATTTGACCAAAAATCGTATTATTTAATATTTTAATATTATTTAATATCTTTGTTGTTACCAATAGAGTTCAATGGAATTTGCGACCATAGTTAGCTAGCAATGCTTTTGGGAAACACACCCCAGATAATTTAATGCTACCTGCCATTCTACCACGCTTTCCTATTTCTATGAATGTGATGAGGACGACGCTCACACACCCTAAAGCCTCTGGAGGCCTAGATGTGGAAGGAAGGAGAGTAGGGTGAGAGCACTGCAGCCATGACTCATCTGCAGTCATAAACACAACACACACACACACACCCGTGCAGACCAGAGGCAAGATGAACACAGGGCCTCCTATCATATCAGTAGCAATAAAAGAGGTGGAAACCCAGCGTGCTGCTCTCTCTAAAGGGGAGCGCTTTAAGTGGTAGATCTGTTGCTTTTTGAACATGTCGTCTCGTCGGGTCCCAGCAATGGTCACCTCACACCGTTAAACAGGAAGCTGATTTTCTGCTATCGGGAAGCACAGATGTTAGAAGAGCTAAATATGAGATGGGGTATCGTGCTGTCCCTCAGACATTTGAAAGCTGTTTGGGGGCAACTCCAACCGGTTGGAATCCTCTTCACACATGATCATAGTCAAGGTCGTCCCTGCTGAGAGGGAAACTAAGCGTATGAATGGTTTAAATGAGCTGAGGTAATTTCGTAAAATGTGCCGTTTCAGGGAAGCGCGCAATTCCTATAGCGGCCAGATGGAGCCATTATCAGAGGAGAATTTAATGTCTCTGTTGCTGAACCATATGTGAGACTGCATATCCTGCACTCATCTAACTGTCCCTTATTTTCTGTCTGCCAAACACACACACACACACACACACACACACATACATGCATGCAGGTTTAAGCTGCTCAGTCAGGAAGAGGGCGAGTACTTCAACGTACCTGTCCCACCTGAAGGAGAAGAAGGCAATGAGGAACTCCGGCAGAAGTTTGAGGTGAGCGAATGTGTGTGTGTTCACCTGTGTTTTTAGGTGTGCCAGAGTATATGTGTTTGTGTTTGTTTGTTTTATTTATCGAGAGATAAGCCTAGAGCCTAGAGAACATCGGCGCTGATATTAAGCATTTTTATGGTTATCGGTATCGGTCATTTTCAAAACCGATTTGCCGATAAAATTAATTTAAAAGCAATTAAAGTTTTTGTCAGAGCCCTTGTTATTCTTAATTTTGAAATTAATTTAGTTTTGTTTTATGTTTTTGTTTCTTTTTTGTTTTGTTTGTTTTTGGTTTATGTTTGATTTGTGTTAAGATTTAGTTTTTTATTTTGCTTTGTTTTTATCTTATTTTTGCTTCGCTTTGTTTTGTTGTTTTTGTTTTAGTCTGCTTTTATTTTTGTTTTGCATTTGGATTATTTTGTTTTGTTTTTTGTTTTATTTTTGTTTGTTTTATTTCATTTAGTGTTTTTTGCTTTGTTTTGGTTTGTTTTTTATGTGTGGTTGTTTTTTGTTAGTTTGTTTTGGTTTTGTTTTTACTTTTGTTTTGTACATATTTTGTGTTTTGTTTTTCTTTTTCCATCACTGGCACCCTTTCTTGTAGTTTCTTGTAGTCATGTACAGTACTTGGGGTAGTGGAATATTCTCCTTTCTGCTTTGGATTAAAGTCAAAATGAAAGTCATTGTTACTTAACAGAATGGAGTCAGATGGTCGGGGGAGGGTTTGAAAAGTAAGAAGAAGGTCAATTTAACTAAGTTATTATATTTGGATAAAAGATTATGAGGACAAACACTTCTTAATTTGAATAACATGCACTTGAATCATGCCTAATAAGACCAGGAATGTATAAAAGTAAACAGAGTTTTGATTTTATGTCGATTTTGACTCTACCAACTGGGTGCGAGCAGGTAAAGTGAAAAAGAGAGAGGTCTTTGTGCATGAAGCATATATCACTCACTGACAAATCTGGCATAAATAACACACTGGCAAATCCCAGCATCCTCCCGAAGTAATCACACTCACGTCAACCTGCATTCTGCTCCGCACGTCCCAATTTGAATACAGAGTAGAGCTGACTGAGAGGTACCAGCACGAAGCTCCTGATCCCTGGGCTTTCTTCACCACAGATTGATTCAGGCCCATTTTAAAGTCCCCTTTCCTCTGGTTTCTGCTTTCTTTTGAGAGCACGCAGTAGTTAGTTGTTCAGACATGTTTCCCACAAAGTTGATAGGTGAAAATGGTCTCGACAGTCGGTTTGTGCCTATTGGTGTGTGCATGTGATGTGTGTGGCATGTATGTTGGATGAATTTTGTGTGTGTGTGTGTGTGTGTGTGTGTGAAGGGGCACAATTAGGCCTGTCGCAATAAATAATATATCGACATATCGCGCAATATATGCACATGACCTCAATAATTTTTGGTGACGCAATATATCGCCCATTATATTTACTTACAAATTAATTTCACCGTGTTTTTTACATTCCACTTGTGCCTGTGTCTTTTGCAGCTTCTCGTACATAACGTCTTATCGCAATTATTTCTGGGGCAATATATCGCACAACAAAAAGTTGTTATCGTGACAGGCCTAGGCACAATCTGTGCAAGTCTCTGCATAATTCAAACGGTCCTGCGAGCAGACCCAGCTGTGGACCCAGTGCATGATGGTATTATTTATGAACAGCCCAATGTGAAACTTAGCGCTATTCGGACTGTGTGTGTGTGTGTGTGTGTGTGTGTGTGTGTGTGTGTGTGTGTGTGTCTGAGCTGGCCGTTT